GGGGCTTTGGGTTTAGGGGTTTGGGGTTTGGGCTTTAGGGGTCAGGGTTTAGGGGTTTAGGGGTTTAGGGTTTAGGGTTTAGGGGTTTAGGTTTAGGGTTTAGGGGCTTGGGGTTTAGGGATTTAGGGTTTAGGGGCTTTGGGTTTAGCGGTTTAGGGTTTAGAGGTTTAGTGGTTTAGGGTTTAGGATTTAGGGGTTCAGGGTTTAGGGGTTTAGGGTTTAGGGACTTTGGTTGTACTTGGAGGTGCAATGGTGCTTATAAGTGGAGTTGCAAGTCCCCCAATACAGCAGTCTATAATTAACTACGGTTACCCTACTTATAACCCTACTTATAGCCCTACTTATAACTAGTAGGGCTCTATTGTTGCATGCTGCAGGGCTTTAGTCAGGGGTTTAGGGCTTAGGGCTATCGGCCGAGAATCCGAAGCGCTAGTTCAGGGTTTACCGGTAATCCTTCTTGGAGGTTCATGGGTAGTTATAAATAGGGATGTAAGCAGGGTAGCTGTAGTTATAACCCATACTTGGGGACTTATAGCCCCACTTATAACTACCCGTGAATTGTAAGGGTTAGACCCTGAAATTCATGGGGCCATGAGATGCTCATGTGTAGGGCTTCTGGCAACGGGTGCCAGAGGCTGGACTGCAGGGGGTTTCGGGTGTAGGGCTTTGGGGTCTGCGGGATGTGTTCCTGAAGCCTCAAAGCACCAATAGAGCTCGCAAGCCTGAACCTTAAAGCATAATCCCAGGCAGTATTAGGAGACCCCTAAAGGGGCCCTTCTTAACCGTACTTGTGGCTCTCTTGCAAGGGACTTTCTTGAGAAAGTCTATATCCCCAAGGGTTCCCCTAATCCTAACTCCTACATAAACTCCTAAACCTTAAACCCCTCCTTAAACCCGAAATTGACACCCGATGCCCTCAAAAACCCTTTTGTGCCGCTCCCAGAAATCCCGGAACCTCTCAAACCCATAGGCCTGCAGCAAGCCGACGAAGTTTTTGAGTCTACGGTGCGGCGGTATGCACACTGTTGCTTACGCCCTGAACCCTGAGCTTGACGCTTACAGCCCAATAGATGGGCATTCATAGTTGGAACCGGGTTTCGGGGTTTCTTATACTACACTCATAATCAGGAACCCTGACGAAGAATGTTTGTAAATGTGTGTCATTATTCGGGCTTCTACATTACACTCAAGTTTTGCTTGTCACTCTAAACCCCTAAACCCCAAACCCCGAAACCCCTAAACCCTAAACCCCTAAACCCTAAACCCCTAAACCCTAAACCCTAAACCCCTAAACCCCGAACCCTTAACCCTGAACCCTAAGCCGAAACCCCTGAACCCAAAGCCCTCCACCCTAAACCGTGACTTCTCTACTTGGAGGTTCATGGGTAGTTATAAGTGGGGTTATAAGTAGGGTAGCTATAATTATAAGCCATCTTAGGGGACTTATAACCATACTTACAACTACCCATGAACCTCCAAGCAAACCCTGAACCCAAACCCTAAGCCCTCCACCGTAAACCGTGACTTCTCTACTCTTGGAGGAAGCCCTGAAGCACCTCACAGTCGAAGTGCCCCAGATACCTCTGGACGTCGTGACAGAAGCTCGGCCGATGTGGGATTTAGGATTTAGGGTTTAGGGGTTTAGAGTTTAAAGCTTTTAGGGCTTAGGGGGGTGGGCAATTCAGGGTTGTAGGGTTAGAGTTTTAAGTTTGGACGCTGGGGTTCGGTGTTTCAGGGTTTGGGGTTGAGGTCTTGTTTTTTTGGGGGGTTGGGTTAAGGGCGTATGTACTTTGTCGAGCTCTGCGAGCAAACTGTGATTTTGGATAAGTTTAGGTTTCTCTCGTGTTTTGTCGTAGCAGCCTACCGGCTACGTATGAGTCGATACGTAGTAAACGAGCACCAGCACAGTTGTCAAAACAAAAGGACTGCTACTTGGAGGTTCATGGGTAATTATAAATGGGCAAAAAACTTCCCATGAACCTCCAAGTATATCAAGATCGAGCAGGACGTCCAACGGCCTCAACCCAGGCTCAGTCTAGGACATTTTCAGCTGGGTAGTTACCGTTATAGGAGCCTTATAGAAGGTCTATATACCGTTATAGAAGCCCTACAGAAGCCCTATACACCCTAAACTCCCCACCTGTAGTTTCCTTTAGCTCAGTGAGAAACCCCTCATGAAGCCCCATCGTGTCCTCGTCCCCTGATCAACCTTTAAAACCTGAAACCCAAAGTACTCCCTCCCTAAAGACCCAGAACCCCCCGACCACTCTTACGAACACTTCGAAAAGCCCCCAAAACCTAAACCCGAAAGCTCTGAAGCAACCCCTTACAGCCCCTGTCTATGGCTTGAGCCATATAGAACCCTAAACCCTACGCACTGGAACTTAAGCCGTGCAGAACTCCTACAAAACCCTAAACCCTGAACCCTAAACCCCTAAACCCTAAACCCTAAAACCCTAAACCCCAAAACCCCTAAACCCTAAACCCCTAAACCCTACGTAAGCCCTAAACCCCTAAACCCTAAGCCCTAAATGCCCTTATAAGCTCCCAGGAAGCGTTCATTCCTAGCGCTCGGCCCCTCGACTCGAAAACCCTCTTTGCGCAGACTTTGCCCCTCGGAGAGCAAGAGGAAGTCTTTTGTTTTTGTTTGGGATTTCTTGCGGACTTTTGTAATAGAAGTGGTGTTTTTTTGGTTTCTGTTTTTGGATTTGTGGTGGGTTTTGTGATTTTGGAGGTTTAGGGTTTAGGGCTTAGGTTTAGGGTTTAGGGTTTAGGGCTTTGGGTTTTGGGTTTAGAGTTTTAGAGTTTAGGGTATGTATTTGTTGTTAAGACTCAAAGTAGTTTTCCTGGCTTTCCTGGGGGCCTTCTTTTGGGGACTTGGAGGAGGCCTCTTGGGCTCAAAAGGGGTTCATCGGGTCGAGGGTTTAAGGTTTAGGGTTTACGGTTCGGGCTTTCAGCTTTGGGATTTGCGGTTTCGGGTTTAGGGTTGTAGCCTAAGAGGCCTACCTACCCTTCTTAAGAAACTCTACTTACAGGTTCATGGCTACTTAAGTCCCCTCATATGGGTTATAACTGTTTTTTCTTTACTTATAACCCCACTTATAACTACCCGTGAACCTCCAAGTATAAGGGAGACATAATAATCATAAGGAGCCCTGGAATGCCAGGTTTTTGGGGCTAGGGGTTGTTTTCGGATCTTGTCGTCTTCGAGTGAACCCGGGGAAGTTTAAACATGGATTAGTCCTGCGTTCGGGATAGTTAGGACTGGGTTCCCCTTTGCTTTATTGACCTCGGGCGTAAGGATAATGATGTTCCAAAATTCTGGCTTCTACTTCCGGCCCCTAAACCCTAAACTCTGACTCGAATGTAGGGGCCCCAATAGTTACCAATACTATTTTGGAGGCTCCTTATTATAATTATAGTCTAATGGGCCCCAAAACCCTAGTCTAATCATCAAGTCCCATATATGCAAGAACCCTTATAGTAGCCCTTTTAGAACCCTTTCAGGAACCCTTTGAAGGAGCCCACAACCTAGTCTTATTATTAAGGCCCCTATATCAGGGTTCAGGGTTGAGGCCTGGTTGTTGTAGTCTAAGGGCTTAGGGTCATTAGGCTCTGAGAAGGATCTGTGAGACTCCAATCAGCGATACTTCTGGAATCTATACAACCCTGACGGAGTCCTTATACATCCCAAAACCCTAAACCCTAAACCCTAAAACCCTAAACCCTTAACGAACGCTCAACCCCGAATCCTGGCTCCTGAGCCTTTGCTTTCACAGTGGGGGTCAACGGAGGAGTGGGCCCAATGTCCTGGTTGTCAGGCTTGCGTATATCTCCAAGCTCATGATAGACTTCGTCCGAACCCTAAACCCTGAAACCTTGATCATCGAACTTCGAACCCGAAGCTCTGAAGCCCAAAACCATCAACCTTACACAAAATTCTTGGCTTTTCTGATGTGAGCCGCGGGCGGAGGTTGCGAGAGCATTTCGGGCTTCGGGCTTGGGTACGGCCTGGCTTCTCAAGGACTTGTACTTTATACAAGAATAATCACAGAAGGGAGTTTGAAGACGCCCCTAAGCCCTAAACCCTAAACCCTAAAGCGTGAGGTGTGAGGGGTTCTTCAGGGCTTTGGTCGGGGTTGAGGGTTTGGCATAGGGTCGGGGTTTAGGAACTCCAAATACCTCGAAGTCCGTACTGCTTGCAACGCTGTAGGTATTGGCTGTTCTTCTTCACTATGAACCCTCAGCCCGAAGCCCTGCTATCTATGCGCATCATAGGACAACCCTACTACTCTGAGCTCTGACCATGCCCTGTAGACCAAGGTACATCTGGTACGACTACTTCTCTGTGCCTCAGTCGGAGGAGAATGCATGGCACAGCGAAGGCTACCTGTGCGTCGAACTGGAAACCAGTTGAGTGGCATAAGTGGGGAGGGTTATCCTACACACAAGTGTCAGGGCGGGCTTTGGCCGCTTCGCCTGTATAGGCCGGGGCATAAGGTTTCCGTTGTAACGGACAGCTGAGGCTATCTTGCCAAGGCCATCCGAAGTATTCCTGCTTACGTCGCCAAGTGCACCTTTTTCATGGCCCTCTGTGCCCTGGCTCAAGCATTCCATCTGCGACTTCTTTACAACACCCCGAGTAAGTTTCATAATGTGGTTGGGGGTTGGAGGGGTTAGTTACACTAGACCACTCTTATAGTACATATCCCCATTGTAACTAGGCCATGGTAGATTCTGATTGTTAAGGCCCCCCATATTGGCATTATATGCAACACCCCGAGCAAGTTCTTAGCATTGGAGGATAGGGCAAATATAGAAGCCTAAACAATGGCCAATAAATAGTATTCCCTCTGTTTCCTTATAATTATTATGCTGGTACTACAAAGGGGTCCCAAAACCCTAGTCAGGTTATGAAGCCCCCTATATTAGCCTTGTGGGGTGGGGTATGCAGGGGCCTCGGGGTCTTTGCGAGCAGGATCTTAGCATATATGTAACATGTGGCGTTGCTTTCGGAGTTCTTGGCTTTTATCTGAAACCACCTACATGAGCCCTAAGCCCTAAAACCCTAAACCCGAAACCCTGCTATACCACTAAAGCCTTAAATCCATGAAGCCCTAGAGCTGCTTAGGCCCTGCAGCCCTAAACCCTAAACCCTAAACCCTAAACCCTAAACCCAAACCCTAACGCCCTCAACCCTCTGTGAAGCCTGAGGGCCGCCTCCTCTTGAAGAAAACAGGACCAAAAAGCGGATCCCCGACCGAGGATCTAGGCTTCAGAGGGTCTGGGGGTTTAGGGTTTTAGGGCTTTAGGGCTTTAGGGTTTAGGGTTTAGGGCTTTAGGGGCTTTAGGGGTTTAGGGCTTTAGGGTTTTAGGGTTTAGGAGTTTAGGGGTTGAGGGTTTTAGNNTTTAGGGTTTAGGGTTTCGGTTGCAGAGTGTATATGGGGGCACCTAGGATCTTGACCCATACCACAACGTGCGAACTCATATTACTCACATTTGCGAAGACCGAAATGATCTCTAGGAACCTTCAGGCAAGTCTCAGCTTGAAAGAAGCAAAACCATGAAATGTAATAGTTCGAAGGAACCGAATAAACAGGGTTATATATAGTTACATCTACGGCACAAAAATGGAGCAAAGATAATGAAATCACACTCATCCGACTCCAGACTCCGGAAGTCCCTAAACCCGAAACCCTAAACCCTAAACCTAGACCATAAGCCTTGCACGCAAACTCCTCAACGTAGGAATTGAGCCCTGAACCCTGAACCGATAGGAAGTCTCTTTAAAGAGTAGCCAAGACCTGCGCAAAAGGTTTTCCCAATATATGCGAAGCGCAAACATGATTAGTGAGTATTAATGATGTTTTTTTAGGGTTCAGGGTTCAGGGTTTAGGGATTCCCTTCTAGTCCCGAACATAAGTCTAGAGTACTATACTCTGGAACCCTATTCTCACGTTACGCTGCTCGATTCTGTTCTTTGAGGTACCCTAAACCCAAAGATCCGTAAACTCTCGCGTGAAGCCAACCCTAAACCCTAAACCCCAAACCCTAAACCCTAAACCCTTAGTATAGTAGGCCCATATAGAACCCTAGGGAGTTTTCAAGGAAACCCTCCCTAAACCCTCAACCCTAGGAGGTCCTTACTTGACCTCCAAGTATCCCCTTTGAAAAGGAAACCCTAAACCCTAAACCCTAAACCCTAAACCCTAAACCCCTTGAACAGGAGCCCTGAAGGGCATCCGAAGTTCTCTAAGGTCCCGTCGTCGATACCGCGGAAGGAAGAGTCCTGACTCCAGCCACCTGGGGCCGGCGCGGCTGCCGGACCGCATTTTTGGGGGCTGAGGGCTTTAGGGTTGAGGGTTACGGGCTGCAGGGTTAGTATAGGGGCCTTAATAACTACCTATTCTGTCGTGGGGTTCTTCATTATAATTATACAGTAGAATATACCTCAAAACCCTATTCTAATTTTATTAAGGCCCCTACGTTGCTTGACCGGCGTTTCTGGGGCTTCAGTTTAGCGTTTGCGTCTCAGG